CTGCTGATATTAGCTTGTAAATGTGACAACACCAGGGAGAATTCCAAGTCTTCTGAGAGCACATCTGGCAGACAGCGTCTGCCTCTAAGCCACACTTCAGCAAACCCCTTGAGCGTATGTTTAACTTTATTAACATGCTGAAATCACACTGACATCAATGGGATTCAAGCATGTGCTTACATGCTTGCTTGATTCAGAGACTCTCCAGGTAACCAGCTCCTGGCTCCCTTGGAAAGGGCCAGCAGGGGACGGGGGTAGGAAGGGGTAGGGCAACACCGACTCGCTCATCCCCGCCGGTACAGAAAGCCGAATGCCACCATTCTGCAACGCAAGTGCCAGCCCTGGCCAAAAGGTCTTTCCTTCTCACTTTGGCAGACTAAAACATTCAGCTTCCCAGACAGACTCCACATCCCAGGAGGGAGAGCACCTCTCTGAATACTTACACAGCTCTGAGTCCCGCTCACCCGGTAATGCCAGAAACACCAGCAGTGTTCTCACATAGAGGGAAGTGCATTATCGAGAGATACAAACTGCCAGGTCATTGAGCAACAAGAACATGCAATTATAGCAGAGTTTAGCGAAGATATTTTGCCGTGAGGCACAACATTTGTGTCTCGCAAATTATACATACAATATACAATATCAAAAAAATCAAACATTTTTTTAATCAGGGCTTTAACCTGACCAGCAGAGTGAAACAATCTTAAAAGGAGTGGGAGAAATGAGTGAAAAGCATTGAATAGGTCATCCTCTTGCCTTTGGAGGTAAGATCAACAGATAGGCACCAGGAAGTGACAGGAATGTTTCGTACTAACACCAGACAACACAGGAAGTAGTGGCTATGAAATGCATCCCTTAAATTTTAGAAAAAGAAAGGGTGCTGTTCGCTACATGCTCAGACTGGGTAGCTCATTGTCACAAGTGGATTAAAAATTAGACAAGTTTACTGAAGAAAAAAAACAAAGGCCAAAATACACAGAGAGGGAAGCAGAACCATTAGTATGGGAAGGCTGTAAGCTTGAGACCGCTGGAAAGAGGGAGAATATCCTCAGGGAAGCATCACTGTATGCTTGCTTCTTGCTAGTCACTGTCAGGTAAAGCATCGAGTGAATCAAACTTTTGTCTGACCTAATATAATTATTCTCAGTGATCTCAGAAATATGAAAGAAAACTATCAAACTTGTCAAACAATGAAGGCAGCTGGAAGAAGTTCAAAAGCCGGGCTACAAAGCAAGATATGCAAGACTAGAGAGATCCTGCAGTGTTTTATGAAAAGACAGACACTAAGCTGTGTGTAAGGTATGTCACAAACATGATTTTGCCTCTCAGTAAAAGCTTAGAGCAAACCATGGCTTGAACTGGATAGTTCAGTATCATTCAGCACAGGGCAGGTAGCCCAGGAATGCAGATCTGAAAGATAGCACTTTGCCTTCAAGAAGCAGGTTTTTCTCCTTTCCAAATGCTTACCTTACACTCTACACGCTAGCGACTAGATTCAGCCTGACTTCTGCTGGCATAACATAAGCTGTGTTTGCCAGGGGGTTCCTTGAAAGACATCTGCAGTGCATTAAGACCTTTCCAGTGAGTCTC